CAGCCATCAGTGGTGGATCCGAACTACCCCTGTATGAGAGCTCCCCAAATGATCAGCTCATACAGACATCATCCAGGTTGGGCTTGGAAGATGAAAGCTCGATATTGCAGTTGCAGTTGCAGGCGACTGCGATGGAGAGTTTGGCTGGGAGACAATTGCCTTCTTACTCACTGCCTATTTGCTTCTCGTGTGGGAAAGAGGATGTATCTGTACTGGAGTGTCGCCAGGCTATTGTTCGCCATAGTCTGATCCCGCCTGGCACGGAGATTGAAGACTTGTGCGCGACGCTGGCTTCTGCGAATTTTGTAGCGGGGAATTAACTCAGGTGTCAAATAAAACATACTTCACTTTTCCTTTTCCTTTTTTACAACTTTAATGAACAATGTATATGTATGAATAAACCAAAAAACAATGCAAACATTAAGTGTTTTTATATTTACAACCCTTCAGGTCAATCTTGGGGAAAATATGCAATTCTAGCTTGCCTGTTACAATTTCTGAAAACTTTTCTATAGTACACTTCTCATTGTACACAATGCATTCTGTCATTACGGGTTTAAATGGTGAATAGTACACATCTTTTTTGCTATTACCCTCTGCTTTGTTGCTTTTGAATATATCACCAAGTTTAGTGCTAATTGTACTGCATCCTTGGACAGCTTCTGGAGGATAGCCAAAGTTATAATAATATACATCAAAATAGAATAATTCGGACTTATTGGATAAAATATCGTTATTGTTCACAGGGTTCACATTGATTATTTCTGGTTGTACCAACATGTATAGCGTAAACGGGCAAGTTTCGGGGTGTAGTTCTTTTATTATTGCTTTATCAGGATATGGAATAGCATGGTTATCTTTAATGGAAGCTTTAGACAAATAAACGCTCTCCAATTTAATATTCGTATTAATTCTTTTCCTGTTAGGTTGATGTATATCGAGTTCAAAATTGTTAATTAAATAGGTTTTCAGGTATTTTATTGACTTGGTGTTATCTATTTTAAAATCTATAGATTTGACTTTTCCATATGCTTCAAATTTTATTTTAATGTCTGTTAATCCTTGATGACTCCCTGTTTTAATATTCTTAAAGCCGAGTTTATGCATAGCCATATAGCTCACAATAAATAACTGACGTATTATAATGCACGTTGGACAGATAAGGCAAATAAAAAAGCAGTGGAATTGAAAGTAGAAATTAAAGAAGAATAAAATAAAAATAAAAATAAAAATAAACGGCGAACAACATCCTCTCCTTTTTATAGTTTTGACAATTTAACGCTATCAATTTGCGTGGTTGTTGTTGTGGCAGTGTGTGGTGCCCAACACACATTTCAAGCCACTATCTTCCCTTTTCAAGAATCAAGATTGCCCTCATGGCCACTATACACATTTCTGTTATTGCTGGCTGACATCAAGGAACACCATGATGTTTACAGCGCTGCCCACACAGCGCTGCCCCCTTTTTCAGTTAAGTAAGTAATTTTTAAGACTTGAATATATCGATTTAGACCCACATTTTTATAGAGCACGACACAGTGTATTAACTTCAATTCATGTGGTACTTCACGTAAAAGCAATGTGTACGCTCTCTTCATTACTTTTACCAACCTCTCTTGCCAGGCATAATATGAATTATCATATTTCTGCACTTATCTTGGCACTTGAGAGACATTGAAAATAAAGCGAAAGAATACAACAATTTCTGCTAACGCTTTTTAACAAACGTTTATTTACTTTGGTTTTTTGTGTACCCATAAAGAAATATCCCATTTATTTTTAGTTTCCTGCCAAAAGTAAGTAGTAGTCGGTCATGTTTTTTTGTAAATATTCGAAAGTATTAGCTGCGCTAGATTCGTTCTCAAGGATTACTATGCTGCTGCTTGTGTGTTTCTAGTCAAACACAAGATTCGTGCATACATTATTAGCCAAATATTTTTAACGCCTTGGCATTGAGAATTCCCGTATTTATTTGGCTCCCATTCTAAGCCACTGCCAAAGAAAAAATTACTTTAATTATTTACATGCACAGCCAACAAACAGACACGTATTTTCAAATAGATAATTCTTGAAGAAAAATGCGAGAAATGAAAAGGCGTTTTGAAAGGGAAAAAGTAAAGCGGCCAGTAAAATGGGAAGGGCACAAACTGGCCATTATTATAATTACAAATGGGTACAGGGAGCTGGTGTTGGATACATGCAAGGTAGGGCAAGGCAAGACGAAGAAAATAAACAATCATGCTTGAAATTAATAATGCAATCAATGTGGCTTGTTACATGCAGTGTTTGTTTATTTGTGGAAATGCAAAAAAATGACATTCAATGACCAGTTGAATGAAAACTGTACATTCTGTAACAAAATACCCAATGCATGCCATGCGTCTGGCTAGTTTTTTACACATCAATTTTCTGTTTGTTTTTACTTTTTTAGCCGTATGGTATGGAAGCAATTGGACACGCATGTTTGTATATATTATTTTCAAATAAAAATTGTAAAGCAACATCCGGTTATCCACACTCAGCACAGTGATTTTAAACAGATACCTGGGCACGCCCATTGTTCCATTCACGATAACGTCAAGTAGGCCAAAAATGTGTGCCAAATGCCATGGCTTTCCAGCGTAGAAATCTAAAATTTGCACATTTTCCGGCTCAAGCAGGCGCAAAAAGATTTTTTGACAGATGGGATGCTGCGCGGTGTTTTGGTGTGCTATTCCTTGAGGAAGAAGAAAAATGTGGTTTCGAAATTGTATAAAAGGTTATGGTGCTGCTCCCGACATTTTCAAACTTTTTTCCTCTTGTTTCCACAAGTCCTCCTCCTTTCTGCCTTTCTCCCAAAAAATTCACTTCGTCGGTTTCAAGCCAAGTTTCAAGTCGTTAGCGGTTCGTTCATGTTGGCATCGGTACCAACTTAGGTCGTCACCTACAAGAACCCACCCACGGGGGTAATACAAATAGTGGGTGGTCGGAAGAAAAAGGAAATGGGTAGGAAAATAGTCCTGCCTTAAGAAACACGAGGAAGGAGAGGGGAAAAGATGGCATATTAATAAATTAAACATGCGAATATTAAGGTGATGCGGGGGTAATAACAATCCCTCAGTTTGCACGCCTGGAAAATCAAAACGTTGTTGCTGCAAGTGCGACTTCGAAGAGTCCTACTTGCGTGCTTGGTCATACTTTCGGGGGTATTTAAAAACCCTGCGGATATGATCAAGCACACCCCCTAATTAAGAGATAAAATAAGCAAAATTCAAACGCTTCCTTCTAATAGGAGTACTTAGCGTTTAGAGTTTGTGTCGAGCATAAATTAAATATGGATCATCACAAATTCGAAATGCGAAGTGCTTCTGCAGAAAAGGCAGCGTTCAAAAGTTACATTTGAATTTCCAATTCAATTTTATTTTTACATATCATGGACTAAAACATTCTTTTTTTAAAGCACCCGTGCGCCGTTCAAAATTCTTTTTGCCAGCCAAAGCAGAGCAGAAATCCAGTCGAATTAGTTAACTTTTAATGCATTTCTTGCTTAAATGGGTGCTCGACTCAGCACAGGGGCAGTTGTCAGCCATGTTGAAGGCTATGTGCACTTGACCTCTTCAATTCATAAAATCTTCAATATGGCAAAGTATGTTGACACACTTCTGATTCTGCCCCTGTGCATGCAGAGGAAGTTGATTGGTCGTTTGTTCGGCGGTTGAAGTGCAGACGCGAAAAATGGCATGGTGCAGTTTTGCAATAGTTTGAACAGCTGCCACCGGGAAACCAATTGATGATCTTGCCAGGCTACTTGGCTGGCATTGCAAATAATTTTATTTTCCCAAAATCTGTGACGCAGTGCTGGACTACCCCCGCGCACAGTTGCCTGCGGTTTATGCGGCGAAAAAGACATGTTCCGCCACATCTGCAGCCAGCGCTAGTCTTATAATAGCATACTAATCCGCTGATTTTGCATCAAAAGACGCGCGAATACCAGCGTGGCCCGTTTTGGAATTGCCCTGATGATGGATGCACTGGTGCAAATTCTAGACGCAACCGTCCATTCATTTATTATTTGTTGGGTAAAACCAGTGGGTATTGAGCTGTCAGGCGGTAATAGCTGCCTTGATGTGAAGAAAATGATAAAATAGTATTGTCTCTTTGCGCTTGGGTGTGGCATTCGGATCAATTGGCAGTCTACCAGGGCGTTTGAAAGCTAGGTGGCGCTCACCAAATTCGCGACGATATAGGAATATCAAAATGAAATTGCACACCGATGCAATATCGTGGTTCCAACACCTGTACTTGAAGTTGGACTCGATAGCGGCCTTGGTCTTGTTCTTGAGCATCGGCTCCAAATTCCTTGAAGTGTCACACCTCGTTTTATGATTTATCTGGAGTTATAAATAAATAGTATGGTTGTGAATACTGAATTTTTGAACGAGCTGCGAAACAACAATTAAGAAATACAATTGTAAGCCAACTATTTTCAACACCAGTCGAGTGCTTTGCATTTGCATTTTTAAAATTTTGAATAGTACATTGTTCTAATAGTTAAACTAGTGTTGCTAACTATTTGTTAATATAGCTATTTTACAGCTACATTTTCTAAACTAATTTGTTACATACTAGAAGCGCAGTTTAAAATGACTAGTAATTGTGTCCTATCTATAGATCTCGAAAGGATAAATGTCATGACACCCAATCCAGCGCATGATTCTTCCATTTTTCATTATTTTAATTTTCTCAGTTTATTTTTTAATACCAACCAAACTATACGAGCGTTTGCTCAATAATACAAATATGGAGTTGCACTCGAAGTAATGAAATCGTGTTGATTAGGATACTTCAAGAAAGAAAAAGGTCGATAAATCCCTGATAGTGATCCTGTTTCCTAATTGGTCAATCACATGACAACAGCGTCTAAAAAATTTATCGCCCCAATATTTTTTTCCTCGTCTCGTTTCTCACTCGGACACGGGACACGGGACTCGGGAATATAGCCCAATGTTGAGACAATAGGTGATTTTGTCTTGTAGCGATTATTTTTTGTAGTGATTATTTTTGAAATCGAGATTTCTCGTCTTGTCGTGGTGTGTGGCAGCTGTTGCAGCGATTGGCGACAATCATATACACTCGCGCGCTGCGATGTTGGCAGCGGCGTCGGCAAACGCACGCACGCACGCAGGAATCAAGGAGCTCCTTGTCCTCTCACTCTATTGTTTGGCCATGCAACGCACGATAATCAGATTTTACACTGCAACGAAATATAAATTATACGTAAAAAGAAAAAACCCGTACCAAAACGCGTAAATATTAGAATGTTTTCTCTCTTGCTGCCATTTTAATCAACTTGGCACTCGAATGCAATCCCGAGCGATGCGTAATTTTTCCTCTTGTACTGTCCTTGTGGACATCCCAAAAAATAAAAATAAAAAATTGACCCATTGTCTTTTCCAGAAAGATAAGAAGTGCAGAGCCATTTCCGTACATCCATTCTTTCTTTTTTCGGCTGGTAAAAAAGAAGAAAAATGATGGCAAGCCTGAGAAAAAGATGAAAAGAGAAGATAGAAAAAAACATCGCTTGCAGTGTAAAATAAAATGGCCATGCTCTGCCCCTCATATTACTTTGCCCGTTCTCCTTTCCCCCTTTTGGTTCTTTCTTCTCATCTCCTTTTTTAATACTTATTTAAAAAGTAGCGGAATTTTCTTCCTCATTTTTTACTTGCAACCAACTTGGCGGCTGGCATAGTTGTTTTTCGGCCCTCCTCTCTTTCTTCTTTCTCATAACAATAAACCTCTCTCTCACCAAAAGTCATTTTTGACGACGGTAGAGTGAACTATAAAGCAAGCTTATCTGCTCTTCAAACTCCTTTTTTTGTGTGACTGATATACCAAATGACCACCCAGCTTTCGTCTTCGCTGAAGGTCGGTGGCGCCCAGAACGCCGTGGGCGTCACCGATAATAATCACCAGGCCGAAAGCAATCAGTTATGTACCAAGACCTGCAGCTCCAACGGGACGCACAGCGAGGGGTACACGGGTGCCTTTGAGGGGCCCGAAAAGCTCCTGGAAATGTGGTTTGCGCCGACAGCTGAGGCTGCAGTCTGCATTAATCAGGAGGTCAAGCTTAGCGACGAGGACCAGGATCAGTGGTCCGAGTTGCGCAGTGGCCTGAGGTGCGTGCCTCGCGCAGTGTGGCGCGATATGCTGGACCTCGTACACTGCCAGGTGCTGAGCACCTTGTGCAACGAGCACATCGATTCGTATCTCTTGAGGTGAGTAGTATACCATTGTTTTCTATATTTTTATTTTTCATTTTTCATTGTCTGATGCCCGGCTGGTATTATTTTTGTTCTACTGCTTCAGCCATTCCCTCAAAACACGCCTGCCCTCCTTTTTATCCTCTTTCTCCTTTCTTTTGTGTGCCCCGCCGCTTTTTGTGCCTCTTTCTGTGCCTCCCCAACATAAATAAATGCAGTAATAATGCAGTAATCAAGCCGTATGACGATCTAACAATTAAGTGTCCAATTTTTTAATTATATTTTATTTTTGGTAGCGAGTCGTCGTTCTTTGTTTACTCGCACAAGCTGGTTCTCAAGACCTGCGGCACGACAACGCTGCTGTACGCCATCCCGCGTATCCTCGACATCGCTCGCGCGTATCTTGGAGCCACCGGAGCGTACCAGCTGTTCTACTCGCGCAAAAATTTTATGTTCCCCGACCAGCAAGAAGAGCTGCACCGCTCATGGGAGAAGGAGGTCACGTACCTGGATGCCCGGTTCCCCGAGGGCTCCGCGTACCTCATTGGCAAGACCAACCGCGACCACTGGCACGTGTACATGAGCGGGCCCCATGAGTGCGTTCTCGCTAACGGACACCGCAGCATCGGCGGGGAGCAGGAGGAGGAGGAGGTAGATGAGAGGGAGGGAGGGGAGAGAGAAGGGGGGGAGAGGGAGAATCAGACGGACACCGCCGTTAATAACTCGGCCGAGGGCTCGCCACTGTTCTGCGCTATCAGCCGCAGCTCATCGCGCTCTACCGTGCATAGCATGTTGGCCTCGTCTGACTATGCTACCACCGCTGCTGCTGCCGCCGCTGGCGGTCATGGGCCGCGCGCGAGCTTGGCTGTTGAGGACACCACTGTGGAGATCCTGATGACCGGACTGGACCCCGAGCGCATGCGCGTCATGTACCTCGGTGGCGTCAGCTCCGAGGAGGGCGCCATCGGCGGCAAGGCTGTCGAGCATGCATCGGGCATTTCGGCCATCTACCCGGAGTCTGCCAGCGACTCATACCTGTTCACGCCCTGCGGTTTCTCGCTTAACGGCGTCCAGGACGATGGCTACTATACCATCCATGTGACGCCAGAGCCGCACTGCTCGTATGCGAGCTTCGAAACCAACATCTCGAACAACAGCGGCATTGATTTGCACAAGCCTGAGGGGATCAAGAGCCTGGTTGAGAAGGTCACTAAGGCGTTTGGTCCACGCTATGTCACTGTTACCGTGTTTAAGGCTCGTGGCGGAGATGAGTTGTCTGGCGGGTATGCCGCTAGTGCTGCTGCTGGTGCTGGAAAGGATAGGAAGGCACTGCGTTATGCCGTTGCTGAGGCGGATGTCGCTCCTCCGGCGTTCGAGGTGGTCGACGGGTACAAGTCTGTGGACCGCGTGCTTTATGAGTTTGACCACTACTGGCTGCGCTATGGCTACTATGTCATGGCTGACTGAGTAAATTTCTTCATACTCGCTCTCTTACTTTTTACTTTATCATTTCTCGCGAGGGCTGCAGACTTTTGCGAGCTCAATTGAAAGTGGAGGGGTGCGATTGTGGTTTTGAAGGCGGTAACTCACGATTAACGACCTTGATGGACAACTATTATTCTTTTTTCTTCTATCTTTCTATTTTTTCATGTTGTCTGTTCTAACTATTAAATGCATTTTATTATCAAGTCAAATTCTTGTTTATTTTCTGGTGCTTTAAGGACCATCAATGGTTGTATATTAATATTCATACACCCATGTGTATATGTATGTATGTATATTGCCATTACAGTGGTAATTAAAAAATGATTGTACCATTTGGCAAACCGATTGATTCAATTAAGCTTTTTAATTAATATATTTGACACGTTGCCTTGTATCACTCGGCACTAGTTTACCTCAGGTAGCTAAGTATATGTCAAAGCACGTCTGGTTGTTTTTTAACTATTATAAATAGATACATTAACTGCAAGAGCCTCAAAAAACAGAATTATTCGAGATTTAAAAAGCTGTGCAATGTGGTCCGAAGCGATACATGTGTGTATGTGGTATTATTGTCATTATTGAACTATTTTAAAATGCATATTGAGTTTGTGTGTAATACTTTTCAATTGATGCTTTTTAATGTGTTGAGCGCCCAGATATTCGTTTGGCCAGACAAATTATAAAAAGGTGGGGACATTATTCTATTTAATTATTGAGCCCACGTTTGCTATTTTTTTACCTTGACAATTTATTTTATATAGTAAATTTGTTTTTTTCCTGGCCTCCATTTATTTTTAATATTTATTTCCCCTTGCCTTTTGCCTTTTGCCTTTTGCCTTTTGCTTTTCCTTTTGATATTCCTTGCCTCGTTTTGCTTGCTTTTGCTTGGGGGGGGGGGGGGGGGTGTTCCCAAGCTGATACTCCGCACACACAAAGCAGGAAAAATAGGTGCTTGTGAGAGCTGTGGAAATATTTTATAATTAAACCATGTATTTTCTCCTCCCCACATATTTTCCATCCAACTCTTTCGTCAATACTCATATTATTTTTTCAACACCACTTTTTAAACTTTGGTGTTATATTTGATTCACAACTATCGCCACTTATTTTTCCAAGCAACCATGGCCGACTACGAAAGGGAAGCACTACTCATCGAACTCGCCGACATCGAAAAGAGGCTCAAAAATAAGGAAAGTATGCAGATTATAAAGGAACTCAAGATTATCTATGCCCTCCGCGCATCCCTCGTAAAGGGCAACCTCTATTTCGAGTGCAAGTTCACGGACAGAAACCCAGAAGTGCAAATTATAAAAAGATACCTTCGAGAATGCGAAGCCAAGATGAAGCACCTCGAGAAGATCAGAAATAGCTGGCAGAGCATCGCGGACTTGTACAATATGAAGAGCGCAGAGCTTTGCTACGATTATAAGCGCGGAAAGATTGAGGACAAGGATACGGTTACTGATGCGGAGGATGATTTAGAACGGATGTGGACCATGTATGACAAGTTTGCTGGCGAGTATAAAACCGCCAGGGAAGAACATGATGAGCTTAGGGATAAGCTCAAGACTATTTACGACGAATACAGGGATGCCTACACGGAAGCTAAGGGTAATTTCTTAGAAGTTTAGGTTGCCAATTCATTTTTGGCCTGTATATTTTATATATATATATCTTGCATTGCCGCTCGGCAAAAAATGCTGTTTCTCACAGACATTATGTACTCCAATTTATGTTGTTTTTAAATAAATAAGCAAAATTATTAGTAAAATTATCATGCAGCTGCAAGCTTTCATCACAGGAAATTATAGCTATTGACGCAGCCACCAGCGACTGAACTGAGCAGTGCCGTTATTGGGCGCGGGCACCAGCCCCAGTATGTGTGTCATCAGCCCATACAGCTCCACGTTCTCGAACGGCGGATGGCGAATATTACGCAATCTATCCTCGCCCATCATATCCTCGCCCCACAGCCTATCGTACTCTGCCCGGTACTTGACATCGCTCTCCGAAACCACCGCATTTCGCACAAGCTCTAAATAATCCTGCTCAGCATTCATATCCGAAATCTGCGAGCCCTCGTTCATCATCTGAATGCTGACGGTGTCAGCATCCGTGTTAGCATTCGTGGCGGCATCCCTGGCAGCATCCGTGGCAGCCTCTGTAGCAAGTGTTGCGTTGAGCGCCGCGAGATTCACGGCGATATCGGGTGCCGGTGCGTTGCGCGAGCGGAAGGCCGGGCCAACTGCCACAAATGTTGCGCGCATCAGCGGATGCAGGTTATCAAAGCCATGGGCACCGATAATGCGGTTCTTTTTGCCCGAGTCCTGCTGCTCCAGCTCCAGTTGCTTTCTCGCATGGAACTTGTCCATGGCCCTGGTGGTGACGTAGTAGGGGAGCTCGGGGATAATGTAGACTGGCGCAATACGCGCCTTGTTGGTGTAGTGGAAGCGCTCGGGGATGTCCTTGCGCAGATACACCGACCACGGCTGGCCGACGCTGGCGCGCCTGAGCTGCTCGTACATCTCGGGCACATCGGCCTCGTCCAGGGGCTGGATGCCGCCAAGCGGCCAGTTGTAGATGCCGCGCACCTTGGTCAGGTCGATAACTCCGTCGAGGTAGATTGCGTTTGCCTGCGTCTTGGCGGCAGCCATGCCATGGTCACTGACCACCATGAGGTTGACTATGTGGGTGAGATTGCGCTGCTCGAGCTGCGTCCACAAGTCTCCCAGCGCGGTGTCCACCAGGCTTATAGCGTTGTTGACATCGCGTGCATCCGGGCCCAGCCTATGCGCCCGCTGTCGACCTCCGGCATGTACGTGGCCAGAAACGCTGGGCGGTTCTCCAGCGGCAGGTCCAGCCACTCCAGCAGCTGCTGCGTTTTTTTCGTCGGATGCACGTTGTCGTTA